AATAATAATGATAATAATGATAATAATAATAATAATAATAATAATAATAATAATAATAATAATGACTAATATTAGTAACAATAATATGTATTATTAATAATAACAGCAATAATATTAACAGCATTAATAATAGTAGTATTAATGAACAATAGTAATTTATAAAAGAATACCTTGAAATTAGATTATTTGACTGAATTGTGAAGATGATCAAAAGATGTGAATGAAATGTAACCGACCCATAAGGCAATCCTTAAATTTCATTCATTTCCGTGGTTCTTGGAAAAGGTAAGAGTGTTAAAATTAAGATCATCATTTAAATTCCTTACACTAAAGTTTTATTCTTGTGTATTTTGAACATTTAATAAATAGCAAAAATTTACAGTTAGGAAGAACTAAAGAAGAAAATAAAACTGTCTAAATTACAGTCCTCTAACAACTAATCAATAACAGCACACAGTTCAATTCATCCAAAAGATTAATGAATGAAAATAATTAAAGATAAGTTGAAATGAACAGTGAAACACGATGAAGTGAAAGACGGTGACAAATGGTGAATGAAAATCAGTAAATGAAAGTCGAACCATGGAAGAAACTGGCATGACAAGAGTGAAATCACCACAATTTCAAGAAGTAACAAACTCCGTCTGACACGATTGGCGGGCGTTGTCCCGATGATGCATCGGAAGATATCCATGGAAAGAATCCAGGAAAAAAAAAGCATATACATGTAGTAAAACTATAAATAAGTAATCCGAAATAAACAACCCAAGCACGACAATATGCACGACAATATGATGGTCACTTTTGGGTAATATCAAAAGCAATGGTGATGATGAATGATTTATCGAATCATTTCATTTTAGGTTATCGTTTCTGAATCGATTAAGCGGATCAATAATCATTTAAAACTATTACTGATATTATCGATTTATCTCCCAGTCGTTAATTCTTCTATAATATTTCATTCGAGCAGAATACATTTCAGTTCTACTTCGACATTGTATAAAATTATCCGAATAACTGCAACTTAATTATTGTTGCAATTGGTAACTAATCAATAGATCATAAAAAGATGTACATCTTAGGACGAATGATTATAATTTACTAGTTTACTGACTGAATAACTGACAATACATCAACTGATTAATTGATTGGTTGGTTGAGTGATTAATTCGGATTAATAAACAACCACATAAAATATTGAAGTAAACAATTTAGATACTTATCTGGAAAAAATTTGATATGAGACATTAGAGAATAAACTGAATGTCCTAACCTATCAACGTAGTGATTAATTAATTGACAATAAACTGACTGGTTGATTAATTAGTTGACTAATCGAGATTAAGGAAAAATCTCATAAAATATCAGAATAGCAATAAAACACCATAACATCAGGGATTTACCATCAAAGAAATATAAGTTTTCATTAAGGAAATCATATAAGTCCAAAGATTTAACTAAAAGCCAGCTTGGATTTGATTTAAAATAGATGATAATGAAATGTCATTTCAGATATAAAACTAATATACAAGTTTAATTTAGTTCTTTAAACAAGAGAATCAATGAAATGAACGAATTAGTTACGCCAAACCGTGTAGTAATGCTAAATTTTTATATTAAAGAATGACCGATTTCAATTATACCACATGGCCTGTATAATCCACTTAAATTATTCCAATTTCAATCCTTAATTTGTTACCGAAAATTGAAATTCCGTAATTATTGTATCCATTTTAGGATATATTGCTTAAAAAACAAAAAAGGGAAAAAAACACAGCATACTCAAATATCATGAAAGGTTATAAAGCGATATACCTGCTGATTTTCGGAAGGCTTTTAGTAGGACTGAAAAAGAAAATACTGTAATTTCCTTGGCTACATCAAACGATAGGACTTAATCAACAGGTAAATTAAGTGGGATATATGCTAATCCTCTTCTTTGATAGAAATAAAAATAATCAAATCGAAATATTGAAATATACACTTTTTAAATTAAATAATATTTAATTATTTAATAAATGATTTTGATTTTTTTAAATTAAATATTTCAATTTTAAGACTAATGCAAATGCAAAAGGGACAGTTTAAAGCCGCTTAATATCCTTTAAGATGATATTATTACCACTTACTGGACACAATTTCCAAACAATCTACATGCAGTGGTCCACTTAACCATATATTATTAACGAAAAGTTTGAAGAATTCCAACTGGAAATTAAAATTAGAATGATATTTGTTATTTGAAGAATGGAAGGATAACTTTACCCACCGGTAATTTGACAACAAAAAGTGTTGCCTTAAGAATAATAACAGCGGTCGGAAGTTAATGCTCCGTCTAGAATCAATATTATTGTTTTTTCTTTATATCTAAACAGACTGAATCAAAAATAAAGATTCCAGATTAAATAGATTGGAATGAAAGGGATTCCGTTTCGACGTGGTGATTCCGTTTCGACGTGGTTCACGTCTACAATCTAGATGGACGAAATCAAAATTAAACGTTCGGTTTTAACGTAACTCACATATAATTAGACTGGATCAAAAGTAAAAGTTCCATTTTACGGTAGCTCATGTCCCATTCTAAATGAATTAGCCGGAAAGTAAGGGACCGCTTCCCCCCGTATTCTATCACGAGGTCAGAATCATCCGTAAAATATCCTGAATTTCACAAAGTCCCATTTCACAATTTGTGACAAGAGTGCAACGTATTGGTTCCAATCAGTTAAGAGTCTGATCGAAAGATAATTAAAGAGTTAAAGGAAAAGAGGGAATATGCTGTGGTAGGGAGCTGGGGGTTGAGAGTAAAGATTGATGAGAATGTTATAGATTGAGAGGAATGACAGCATACGTCCTGATTTAGGGGAGATTTTTACATCGGATTAACCTCTTTCATTCTTCACCTGACCCCCTTCGTCCTCAACTTAGTAGTTTAATTCAAATTTTGTAAAGTTTAAAATAAATGATCTAAAATTTGGTCAATGCATATGCTTAAGAAGATGAAAGAAAGGATCATCGGGAATTTTTGTTTAGCTGTATTCAAGTTCTATTTAAATTCAAAATATTGGTAAAAAGCATCGCATTATAGTGATTTAATTGAATTTAATATTTGTTTTAAAATTTTAGTAAAGATATTTTAACCTGTAAGGAGAAATCAACGTGATATCGGATGGAAAGATGGATTTCCTTGAGAAATCTTCGGATGGAATGATATTTGTTGCTAGAGATAATAATCGTTCTAGTAGTTTTATAGAATTCTTCGATATAATTTCAGTATTACTTTACTATCCCAGTGTACTCCGTGGATGTAGTTGCAGAGGAGGGAGAATTATCAGATTATCAAATTTTTGTCAATTTCAAATTATATTATTTTTGCTATTTTTGCTTAAATTATATTTTTTTCCCAGATTATTTTGCTTTTTATCAATTTTTATGGGAAAAATTATCAGATTCATCATAGCGCCACCTATGTTACACGTTGTGTCCATTATTTTCTATTTGAAATTTCGGTAGTTTCAGAGTAGTTAATTGCAAAGATGGCTGCCAAAGAAAGAAGAAAAGTAGCAGAACTTTTGGAAATGGAAGCGAAGATTCAGAAGTTATGGTCAGATGCGAAAGTATTCGAAATGGATGCTTCAGATGACAAGTAATTGTATACCCGAATCGCTTTCAGTTTTCGTCTTTCACTTTTTTAATTTGCAGGTTTTCTTTCTTTTTTAAGATGGTTCTGTAAGGTCTTTGTATTACGCGAGCAAGTTTCAGGTCTGAGCCCAAATATATGGCAAACATACCATATGCTTATATGAATGGTCGTCTTCATTTAGGACATTCTTTTACGATATCAAAAGCAGAGGTTCGTTTTACTCACACTTTGCTGTATTTAATTAATAGTTCTCTGTAAATTGGAGTTTTTTGTTGAAATTGCCATTACGGGGAAATCTTCGAGAAGTACTGTAACAGGGCGTCATATTTCAAACTTCGAATTGAAATTTTATCAAAAATATTGTCGTTTTAGCAAATTTTATCATATTTCTGTTGGCATTATTTCAGTTTGCAATAGGATTTCAACGATTAATGGGGAAACGCTGTCTGTTTCCCTTTGGTTTACACTGCACTGGGATGCCAATCAAAGTCTGTGCTGATAAACTAAAGAGAGAAGTGGAAGAATTCGGATATCCACCACATTTTCCTGATAATGGTACTAATAGTAAAATCTCTTCCGAAGAGAAAAGTGTTGTGGATGAAATTGTCAAAGATAAAAGTAAAGGGAAAAAGGTTTCCTTTTTACTTTGATATTAATGTCTTGAATTTTGTATTTCCATTTATTAATGTTTTGAATTCTCCCTTTTTGTTATTTTGTTATCATGGTCGGATATATCGTACGCTGTTCGCATTTTCAGAGTAAAGCTATCGCAAAAACTGGATCAGCGAAATATCAGTGGCAAATTATGAAGATGTTGGGTTTAAGTGATTCCGAAATCATCAAATTTACAGATGCGAGCCACTGGCTTGATTACTTCCCGCAACTTTGCATTAGTGACGTGCAAAAAATGGGTCTCAAGGTTTTGAGTTTTGAAGTCGTCGATGTGCTGAATGATTTTGTAGATTTATATGTGAAGCGAAGTGCTGTTTTTTCTTTTTTTTGAGTTAGTTCGCCAAGATTCTTACTTATTTTTGAGGGCAGTTTGTTTAGATTGATTGGCGACGCACATTTATCACTACTGATCGCAATCCTTATTATGATTCATTTGTTTGTTGGCAATTTCGGAAACTTCGTGAAGCTAAAAAAATTGATTTTGGCAAACGTTATACAATATATTCTCCAAGTGATGGACAACCATGCATGGATCATGATCGATTGATTGGCGAGGGTGTTGGACCTCAAGAGTATACACTCGTCAAATTGGAGGTGTGTGGAATAATTCTTAAGGATAACTTCTTTTTTATAGTATGTGTTACTTTTTCAAGCCATTATTTCAGGTCCTTGAACCATTACCAGAGTTCCTTGCGAAGAGTGGAAAAAATGTGTTCCTAGTTGCTGCAACACTGAGGCCTGAAACAATGTACGGACAAACGAATTGCTTTGTTCATCCGGATATTGAGTATGCATCTCAGTTTTTATCAAACTGTTTAAATTTAAATAAAAGATGAGGAATTTTAATTAGTGTTAAATGGTAATCTGTTAAGCTCTTTTCTGTTCTTAATGTTTTCGTTGCATCCGGATTTACAAAGATGTAAAAATACGGGAACTCTTAATTTTGAATGTCTAATATATATTTTCAGCCGTATCATTATGTATTTTTATTCATTGTATTCTTATTCAAGGTACTGTGCTTTCTATGCTGGCCAAAAAGAAATGAAGTTTTTG